CACAGATAGCACAGCAATACCGACACAGTCACTCACAGATAACACCATTCTGCTGACAATCACACGCGCACCCACAGATGTGCCTCACAGCACATCTCCTGACATAGACTCTCACTCACAGATAACACACCTCTACAGACTCAGACCCATGTGCTCTCACAGATTTTGATGCCAGTATATAAATATGCAATCTGTGCGTGTACTATGTGCACAGATGCGCATGTGGAAAGGATACTGTGTGTGTCTTTTGTCATGAGTAGCAGTGTCCTGGTTGATTGCTTACCACTCCAGGGATGAGCGATGATAAACAGACCCACACCAGTGAAACAGCACAGCTAGAGTCAAGCATCTTTGGGAATAATGGGGTGTGACAGCAGGCGGCTGGAGACTGAGAGTCTGGGAAAACACAGCTGATTGATGGGCTGGGAGCAGGGTGGGGGGGGGGGCTTCTTCATTATCACCCAGCTTCTGTCCTTCTATCCCACAACTTTCAAAGTGACACCAAAGTGAGCTGACACTTCTCCCACCCTCACCGCAGCTGGGACAGCAACACATCTGCACTTAGACTGGCAGAGTAGTCAGAGACTGCAGATTGCAGAGCTGCTACTGACTTGATTTGATTATGAAAAACCTGCCTAAATATGAAAGTGTAGCACAATGGTACAGTAGTTAGCATTGCTGCCTCACGCTGGAGTCCTCATTAAGTTCTGGACCTGGGGTGTTATCTGCGTGGAGTTACTGTGTTCACATAGGTTTCTTCCAGGTACTCATGTTTCTCATGTTTGGACTTCTGCAGTCCAAAAACATATTGGCAGGTTAATTGGCTTCTGGGAAAATTGGCCCTAGGTGTGAGTGTTTGTGTGTCTGTGTCTGCCTGCAGTGGATTGGTGTCACGTACAGGGTGTACCCTGCCTTGCACCTATTGGTTTCTAGGAAAGGGTTCAGCTCCCCTGTAACCATGAACTGGAAGAAGTGGTTAGAATAGGGATTGGTCTCCAACAAAGGGTCTGTCCACCTCTGGTAATGATTACAACTGCAGCATGTTGCAAGTTTTCATTCTGCACATGGTAGATGTACAGAGATGTGCTGGTGACTCCTAATTCTCTAATATTTGCACAGGGAGAAGCACAAGGAAAACAGGCTAATGGCAAGATGAGGACATCAGTGCCATCTCAGACATTTATTGTGTTAGTCGCATATTGATCTGAGAATCTTGAAACAGTCTTGATTGATGTGGAAATAGGCTTTATAGCACTTACTTAGTGGCTAGATAATTGGTTTACATGTTATACATTCTCTAAAAGGGTATTACGAAGGTATTGCAGGCTACATAAGTACTAATGTGTAATGTAAGTGTGACCTAGTAAACTATAAAGAGTTTTTATAAGTGTATGTGTAAGGTCTAGTCTTCTAAGTTATTTAGCTTTAATTGAAGCAATAAAGTACTTTAAAACAGCCATAGACTGTATTCCTAACTTGTATTCAGTTTGTGGGTACCTATGCATTTTAAATATCTATGATGACAGGTCATCATGTTTCAGAATCTCAGAGCCATGTTGTAGGACAGCAGGTTACAGGCAGCAGAATCCCAAGACTTGGGGGAGGAGACCCCCAGCTGTGTTATTTCTACTGTTTTTGACTTCTCTCATTGTCCGGCTCTTTTCGCTCAGTGCTTTTCCTCCTTCATGCAGAAGCACAACTCTATGAAGACTGTCCCCTGAAATGTAATCCATCTGGCTTTCAGCTAATAGTTAATACAGACAAATGTGTGTTTTGCAGAACAAATTGCAGCCTTTTGGCTTAATGGATGTTAAGAGAAGAGCAAAGGATGTAAATCATGAAGAACACCCGACAATGAGTCAATTGCAATTGATTGGTAAATGTGATGGGTTAACTCCAGCACTTCATATTGGCTGCTTGTCTGTAGGGTGAGGTGTAATTTTAGTTATTGTGATCAGGATTTTGAAAGTTCTTTCTATCCATGTGATTAAGAGATTGCTGAATGACAATCTTGGCTTCTTCTCAACCAAATAAAGCTGTACGACTTACTGTCAACATCAAAACAATAGGAAAGGCTAGCTTTGAGTAAATGAATGATGTTTATAATCCACCTATATTGTAAATATTGATTGTCCTGTGATATTCAAGATATCTATGTGGAGCAGAGGCTAGGGTTTTTAGAGTGGTAACTGTTAGGAGGTTAATTCAAATCCCAGGTGAAACACTGCTGTTGTACTCTTGAGCAAGATACATCATCAGAATGTTCCAGGAAAATACCCACATTAAGAATTATTGTAAATGTATAATAAATTGCTTTGGATAAAAAACATCAGCAAATATTTATGTCTAAGACTTTTGTATATTTCTAAAATTTGAAACAATTATTTATTACACATTATATTGTATCACTAGCTGTGCGTCAGTTCTGGGATTTATTGATTCTTTAAGAGCCTAGTGTTTCACAGGGTCAGGTACTGGTAACATTAAGTGGGCTGAGAGACTTCTGGGTGGGATACCAGTCCATGACAAGTTAGCCTCCCAGTAATACTGGAAGACATTTATATACAGGCTGTACAGCAACCAACAATCACAGCATTTTATTTTGGAGATCCATATTTAAAGTGCCTTTCTTAGTGACACAACATCTACTGCTCCAGTGTGCGAGTGAGAAACTTAAGATTTCACAGAGAAATGTACTGTAGGTATCTAAATAGGAATCCGGCATTGGTTTCTAAGTGCCTGGCCATATGCTTGCTTGCTTGTTTAGATTGACCAGGAAGGACTCACTTTACCAGAGAGGACCCTGTACCTTGGACAGGATGAAGACAGTGTGAAGGTACAGTATTGCCTTATCTGCAGTGCCTAACTGACACAGTCCTGCATATGTGTCTCTGCTTATACACCTGGTTACAGCACTCCTGTAAGCCCTCTGCTTATACACCAGACTTCCTGTCCTGGTGGAACACTCTCATTCAGGCTGCTCTTTAATCTGCATGACAACTCCTATAACTGCAGAATAGCTCTCGTGTTCATCACACCTTTTTTGACTGTTTATCTACACCCCACCAATTGCGTCCAATCGGATGAAACATCTAAGTGAGTATGCGTTTCCTCCTCTTAACTTTAACCCCTCATAGATGGTATGTGATGAGGATAGTCTCTTCTGTCTGGGGCCACGTAGACACCTTTCTGCAGGTGTTTATAGAAAGTGTCTCTTCATGGGTGTGGTTGTCCCCTTTCAGATCTTGGCTGCCTATAAGGCTCTGATGGAGAGGCTACTGAGCATGCTTGGAGCGCACAATGCCACACAGAAGGCACAGGAGATCCTACAGCTCGAGACACGTCTGGCCAACGTGAGTGAAAAAGAAAGCATCACAAATGGCTTGATTTCTTTCTTCTGAGGGACAACAACTGGAAATGAAATGTTGATGGCTCGATTGTGTTTTCTGTTATTTATAAGTTTTATAGATATATATACACATTGCTATGGCTTGCACATTTGCTACAAGCCAGTTTAGTAACAGGATTATTCAGCTTTGTCAACATTGTTCCTGTGTTGAGATGGAAGCTTGATCTAAAAGGTTTTGAAAATGAAGTCCCAGGGCTCGATGAATTAATTCAATATCTTGCTGCACATGCAGATTTTGTGAGTGGAGGCTAACCACAAGGAATTAAAATTATCGGATATAATTATTATGAAATCCCTAATTTTCACAGTCTGGTTATTCAGATCATTGGAAATGTGATTGCAAAGCAATGTGTGTGTGTGTGTGTCCTGTGCGCGTGTGTTCTTGCGTGTCAGTGACTTTGTGCAGTCATGCAGATACCGGCCTCTCAGCCAGTCCAGCGCCCGTCTGGAGTCTCTCGCAGTAAGCACCCCTGCCTGTTTCCCTGCCGATAACTGGCGCTTTTTCATGTGCGCTCAGATAACCGTTTCCGAGTTTGACGAACAAAGGAAAGACATCAGCACCATGTACAACAGGATCACCCTGCGGCAGCTCCAGCGGATCGCGCCCAGCGTAAGTGGCTGCACCCCTCTCTGCCTGTGTCTGCGGTTCCTCGGGGGGCTGTTGGCGTGAAGCGCCACGGGGGGGGTGATGGGATTGAGTGTGTTTTAACAGTGCTGAGTTCAATGATTCTCAGGCGAGAGGGCCAGCACGCAGGGAGTCTTCGTGCTCTTCCTTATCTGTGATGACAAAATATAAGTACCAGTGTGCTCATATATATATAGAAAGAGTGAGACACTTGATTTTAGATGCCCACATTTGGAAAGTACACCTGATTATCCTGGGACTTGTCTATACAGCAGCACCGACAAACTGTACATCAGCCAATCTAGTAAGCTGACACAAATACCACAGAGTAACTATAAGGTTTACTCAGCTGACTCCTGGGAAACAAGCCCTGTGCATTTACTTCCATCACCTTGCCTGGCCTGAACGATCCCCGGAACTCAATCCTCCCAGTGAAACCAGTACAGTTTAGTTACCCCCACCATTACGCTCAGCAGAAGTGCAGCTAGAAAGATAGAGTTCAGGATCACTGGGACAAGACTCAGAGGCCAGAACGAACAAGGTGCAGCTACTGATTAAAGCAGAGCTGAGGATTAAGTCTCATAGCCAGTCTGTAATTGAAGGTTAAAACGCGTGTAAGACTCCAGTGCTGCTGCTGTAGGTGCATATAGCATAGGCTACTGTGTGATTGTTTGGGCTGTGTGGCTGTGCAGTGTGTGAAGAGCATTGGACAATGTGTCACTGAGCTCTCTTTCCTCTTCCCTGCCCTCCCAGCTCCACTGGAAGCGTCTGCTGGACAGGATTTTCAATGACAACTTCTCTGAAGACGAGGGGATTGTAGTCCTGGCCACTGATTACATGCAGAAGGTGTCCGACCTCATCAAGACCACCTCCAAGAGGTGAGGTGGTGGGGGGGAGTGGAGAACGGGTGATAGGAGTTCAGAAGGAGGGCATAAGGGCAGGATATGTTGGACATTATGGGTTCAAGCTGTTGACTGCTTTTGAAAACCTGGAAGCACCACTAGCTTTCGTGCTTCCTAGCTGGGATACATGGAAGGCTGCAGTGGGTCTGGATGTACAATATGATGACCGGACAGGAATGGAATCCACGGAGAGGTGTAGCGCACTGTACTGTATATCGAGGGCTCCTGCTGTTGATCTCCTCTGTTCTCAAGTGAAGTAAAAGACAGTGAAAGCACTGGGATTCCTCCCTCATGCAGGGGAGGAGGAAGATCGGAAAACCATCTTAAAAACTGCAGTGCTGTAACTCTACAGCTCACACACACTGCACTCTTGTTTTACCATCCTTCTTGGTCTTTGCTCATTTTTTAAAAAAATTTCCCTTCCCCTCCTGTTTTCCTGAACTCTTTTATCATTCTTTATCTACATTTCCATCCATCAGAAATTCCCAGTTCCACTGAGCGCAGAGCGCAGCCCGCGGTACAGCCGGATCCTTCAGAGTCCTGCTGCGCGCTTCTCTGTGGGATACAGGCACAACAGGGGGTGAGCCTGGCACGGAGACCACTTAGACGAAGGCTCATTCTATAGAAATTAACATCCATATAAAGATGAATTTCAAAATAAAAGCCGCTCCCCTACAGTAAAACACTAGGTTTTTTTCTACTCATAAGAAAAGGTTCAGAAAAAAGGCCAGGACCCAGTAACTTTCCCTCGTCGATGGTTTAAAACCTCAGCTCTACAGACGGTGTCTCTTCTCCTCCCAGCATGTGGTTCACTGGAGATCTCCCTCCGATTCCTCACAGCAAGTCCCCAGGCTCCGTCGTCTTCTGCCTCCTTCTGGGGCTCTCGCAAGGCCCCGGCTTCCTGCTGTATTCATTAGCTCCGTTTAATCAAAGGTTACGTCCGCTGCTCTCCACTGGAGAACAGGATTGTTGCTGTTTCCTCTGATTGCATTTAAATTTGCCGACCTCCCTGCGGCACCGCAGCTCATTTGCAGTATTAACGACGTGTGCGTTTCTGCGCCTGGCTGCCTCAGCTGTGGGGGAGCTCCCTTTCCTCTAGTCCCTTCCCCCAGATTGAGACGGAGCATCTTGCTTCAGTGAGATGGGGGGGTGGGAGAGAGAGAACCTGAAGGGTTTCTGTGATAAAAGTTCGTTTCGGCCTTGACTGATTTGACGCTTAGCACTTGCTGATTCTCTGTCTCGGGATCGTTCTGCAATAATGGGGGACAAGGTCCAGGTGGATGGGTACCACACCGATCTGGCTTTTTAGAGGCCTCCCTGAGGTCTCTGTTGCTTTAGTCCTTCAGAAATTCTGTTTTGGGTTAAGGAGGTCACTGGACATCTGGACAGTGTACACATCTTTCTCAGGGCACTGTGATGATGCCAGGCATGTCCTGCTTTGCTATAACTGTATGTCCCTCTCTCTGCTTCCTTGTCCTGGAGTCTCTTTCTCTTTCTGTGGCCCTGTGTTTGTCTGGAGGTCCCCGTGTCTTTCTCTCTGCGTCACTATATTTCTCCCCACGTTTTCTCTTTTGTCTCTGACTCTCCCACCCCCACCTTCCCGGCTCCGTCTTCCTCCGCAGAGTCCTGCACAACTACATGCTGTGGCGGGTCGTGGCGTCGCTGAGCGAGCACCTGTCGACGGCGTTCCGCAGCACCATCCACGAGTTCTCGCGGGAGATTGACGGCACGGAGAGGCAGCTGGAGCTGAGCCAGCTGTGCCTCGCGCAGGCCAACAAGCACTTTGGCATGGCTCTGGGGGCGCTCTTTGTCCAGGAGTACTTCTCCTCCGACAGCAAGGCCAAGGTACAGCACACTAGGGCACAGACACTGAACGCTATAACAGGGAAACGCCCCCTGCCGAACAGCAGATTGATCCAGCTACAGGCTTGTACTGTAAGTGGCTCTGGGTATCCGAAGCTGGTACTGTTATTTCAAATATGTCTGCATTGACAGATGTCATGCAGAAAGGGTCCAGACTGCCGTTCCCCAGGAGTCCACACCTCGACTCCTTAACCTCATCACCACTGTGTTACAAAGCCCGAATCTCTTTCCCCCATCTCCCCACAACCCTTGGCACCTATCTAGGTCTGTCTCCTCACCACACACCCCCCCCCACCCTCTGCCCCTCTCTCTCAGGTGCAGGAGCTGGTGGAGGATGTTAAGCTTGCTCTGTACCGCCGGCTGATGGAGCTGGACTGGATGGACGAAGAGACAAAAGGGGCAGCTCAAAAAAAGGTATAGTGCCAGGTGGAGGAGGGGTGCTGTCCCAGGAGGCAACTCTTCCTCTTTTGTTTCCCTCTTGATAACACTGCACTTCCTTCCTTCTTCACCCCTGGCCTCTTTCTCTTCCTTTTGCTATTCATTCCCTTTATTCCACTCATCAACCTATCTACAGTAGCTCGCTTGCTGGATGGTTGTTAAGTGATCCAAGAATTTTATCCAGCCGTTTCTCGAATGAAGCTAGGGTATCGGCTTCAGAATGACTGGGCAGTTTGTTTTACCCTCCCACAGCCCTCTGTGTGAAGACGTGCCTCCTGATAGGCATTTTAAATGCATTTCTCCTTGGTTACCTCTGCTGTCCTCTGGATTAGATTTCACTGTTTACGCTCAGGAAGTCCATTGGTTTGACTAAGTGCCCTTTTCATTTTCCTCTTGTTCCTCCCAGTGGTCCCCCTTCTCTCTTGTCTGTATCTTTTCCTAGGACTGCTCCTAATTAGTTTTGATTTGTTGCATATTTGACTACCACAGTAGTTTAAACATTAAGCAGGCTTCCTCTGCCTTTCTTTCTCTCCTTGTCTGTGCCTCTCAGCTGCGACACATGATGGTGATGACTGGGTACCCAGAATTCCTCTTGAACCCTGAGGCCATAGACCAGGAGTATGGGGTAAGACTGAGGGTATGGTGCTGAGGGGACTTGTCCTGTTGTTTCCTCCAGTGGCTGTTTTTTATGAAATATACCACTTTTACTTGTGTGACTGTCTTGTTACGTGCCAGACTTACAATGTGAAGCCTTGTAGAATCTTTACAGAGTTGCCATTGCAGTGTAGACAAATTATCGTACTGGATCCAGAATTTAAATTGTCTTGGATTTAACGTTTAATAAAAGTCAACGTACTGCAGAGAATGCAGTACTGCCGGCTACACCCTGGACGGGATGCCAGTCCATCACAGGGCAGATACACAGACACGCACACACTCACACCAGGGTCAATTTTCCCAGTAGCCGATTGACCTACCAGTGTGTTACTGGTCTGTGGGAGGAAACCAGAGCACTTGGAAGGGAACAAATGTGAAGTCAGAGAGAAAATAAAAACTCCATGCAGATAGCAACCCAGGTCACAAAGTGAACCCAGGGCCCTAGTGCTGTGAGGCAGCACAACTAACACAGGGGCCAGTACTTCCGTGCTCCAGAGCATGGGGATCTCTAATTGATCTTATACACGGTTGTCTATTTCAGAACTTGTGGGTTTCTGACTGACACCTTTATGGTCCTCACTCCTTCTCAACTTTCCTTGTCTCCTCCCTCTCTGCCTCCTTTTCTCCGGTGCTGTCGTCTGTCAGTTTGAGGTGGATGAGAAGACCTACTTCCGCAACATCCTGAACAGCATCAGGTTCAACATCAAGCTGTCGGTGAAGAAGATTCACAAGGAGGTGGACAAGACAGCGTGAGTGACAGTACAGACCAGAGGAGAGAGAGGGCATGGGTGGATTCTTAGCGGAAGCTCCCTGGGTGTCCCTACAGAGGGAAAGAGAATCCATTATCCCCTCTCCTCTTTGAAGACATTTCCCACCCCTCCTCCCGCTGTCTGACCTGGCCATGACATTAAAAATAAAATACAAAAACCAACTCTGAATTACTATCCTCTGTCTTGGTCGTTAAGTCTTCATTATCTTCAAACACTTTGAATTCCTCTGAAGATGTCTCACTGAGCCTTATGGAGCCTGAGCATCTCTATCCCTAATGAACCCTGCAGCCAAATTAATGCCTTGTGTGTCTCCAGACCCTCTCTCCCAGCAGTGGGTTGATCTGAGTAATTGGCTTATCTAAACTGGCGAGCAGAAAAGGTCAAAAATAACTTGTCTGAATAGTTAAAGAGTGGAGTGTGTACTGTGTGTGATGGAGTGCGAGTGTCTGTATTTGTGTGTGAATTGGTACTGTGGGGCATGACTGTGTATATCTGTGCACTGTAATGTCGGGATGAGTAGGTATCGTTTGGTGAACTGTAAGTTGTGAGCAAGTGTTTGTGTACTATAGGAGCGACTGAGTTTGTGTGTAATGTAGTGTTGGAGTGAAGGTGTAAGTGTACTGTAGTGTAGGAGCTAGTGTGGGTCTACTTTAGTTTAGGTGCCATTAAGTGTGTACTGTTGCGTAGGATGTGTGTACAGTAGGACTGAGTGTCTGTACTGTTGTGTAGGAAGGTGTGTATACAACAGGAATGAGTGTGTACTGTAGCATAAGAGAGAGCATACTGTAGGAGTGAGTGTACTGTAGTGTAGGAATACGTATGTACTGTAGGAGTGAGTGTCTGTACTGTAGTGTGGGGGGGTGTGTACTGTAGGAGTGAGTGTCTGTACTGTAGTGTGGGTGTCTGTACTGTAGTGTGTGTGTGTGTACACTGTGGTGTAGGAATGAGTGAGTTAATTTGGAGGGTGTGTCTCTGTGTCTTTGCAGGTGGCTTCTGCCCCCTCAGGCACTCAATGCCTATTACCTGCCCAACAAGAACCAGATGGGTGAGTACAGCACCTGTACACACACATCTCTATACACACACACTTTGGCTCTGCATGAGGGAGAAAGGGGTTTCACTGCCTGAGGTAATTCTCCGTACACTCATGCTCTTCTCTTTTCTTGTGAAGAGAATGCTCACAATCTGGGGCACTATCCATGAAGAAGTGTAGACCGCATGTCTGAGGAGTGCTCTTAGAGGTCTACAGTACATGCTGTGTCCACACTTCCACTCCTTACCTCAATTCCATCTGCATTCAGAATCCATTCAGAGCTGCAGTTTCGGCAGCAGTACAGATCAGACACAGATGACGCGTAGTGGGTAAAGAAGAGACCCGTTCTGCATTACCCTGATATCCATCACAACATTCCTGTCTTATTCCCTTTCTCCCTACAGTTTTTCCAGCGGGAATCCTGCAGCCCACCCTGTATGACCCTGAATTTCCCCAGTGAGTATCAGTCCCAGACTATGGGACAACTGTAGTAACACCATCAGACTTGAAGGCAAGGCCAAAGTGGTTTGAAAGGATTTGCTGAATGTAGTTTTAATTAGTTTTGAGTGATAAAAGCCAGGCACAACCAAGGCATCTCATCCTGCAGGGTTAGACTCAGGGGCAGTGTGTAGAGATGTTGGTATTTACAGAGAACTGTTTTTAAAGTATGCAAATCAAGAATGCATCCTTTTGACCTGCTTCTGCTTTTTTGCTGTAACACAGAGAGCTTGGCATCTTATATCTTACAGTATAAGTTACACATCTGTTTTGCTGTATTATAAATGCTGCCAGACTCATTTTGTTCCTGCAGCTCCTCAGTGACTGAATCAAATTAACTCTGATGTGCAGCTTTTCATCGCCATCTTGTGTCCCAGTGACTTCAGTCTGCAGATTCACACGAATCTCTAGTAACCCCTATCAGGAAACCATTATTGAAAGAGGGTGTTTGTGGATTCTGTTTATTCTTCTCTAAAGATTGAGCTGGTCTTTCATAGAAACCTGACCTTTGGTCAACAAGATCATTCCAGGTTGGTTTTGTAGGTCATTTCTGCAGTTAAAAATGGGTTGTCTCATCAATTCAGTTGTGATCTATGAGCAGTGCTGTGATGATGGAACTAGTACACCAAGACCTCAACAGTCCAAGAAAACAGAATTGTCCAGATTAGGCAGGAGTGCTGCCTGCTCGTCTTGTGAGGACTGTTGCCATGTTTCCTGTTTCCCTGCAGGTCGCTGAACTACGGGGGGATCGGCGCCATCATCGGGCACGAGCTGACACATGGCTACGATGACTGGGGTGAGACTCACTGCCCTTCACCCTCCTTCACTGGGCACCTCCTCCTCCTCCACTCACCACATTCCTGCCCTTCCTACATCCCCCTCCTCCAGATACTTGACTGCTCCTGTAAAAAGCCCAGCAATATTAATGGGCGCACGTGTAAATTGCTTTGGATAAAAGCTACAGCCAAATAAATGACCCATGTTACCTTAAGTTTTTCCCAAACGTCCTACTGTTCCTCTGTAGCTCTAAATGCACCCACTCATGCATTTTAATACCTACACCGCTATGTGCACTGTGTGAGACACGACCCCTGTCAGCTCCCAGAGGTCTGTGTTATTAAGGACCCTAGTAAAGAACTGAATGTCTTTGAACTCTGACCTATGCATTACAAGAAATGTGCTCTTCCAGGATCTCCTGTGCAGGCTAGTATTAGAGATGTGGCTATCAAGCCTCTCTCATTTTAAATGTTAATTACTGATGGACACGATGCTTCATGAACACATCTTCCTTTCTGTTAAAAGCTACCAAGTGTTCATCAGGGCAGGCTTGGCTTTAGATGGATGAAAACCCAGGGCAGAGGCTGGTGTCATGGTAGTTTCCTAACTACTCCACCACCCACCATAACCTGCCTTGAAAAAAGGTGGAAGCAATTAAAAAAACAGGGTGCAAAGTAGAAATAAATTGCTTATAATGAGAATCATGAAATCTGCTGCTTTTGAAGTCCTAAGCTGATTTAGAAAAATCTTTTGGTAAATATCATGTTGGACAGCTTTTTCAACTAGTCTGTTGAGATGAACTAAAAGCTTAATTGTCTGTGAGTAGTAATAATAATCAGGAAGCCTTGGTCCACATGTCATATACAATGACATGTGGACCAAGACACCCACACCTCTGTTACACACAAGACAGTTAAAGCCTCTCCTGATACACTGGGAAGGATTCGTGATGCCATGCTCAGTGCTCAGATTTCAGTGTACACCTGCTGCGTTTGAGTATTTCCTCTTGTGCATCTAACACATTATCACAAGCTGTCAGCAGTGAATTTGTCAGCAGTTAGATCACCCAATTTTGGAGGCCAGCGTTTGTAATTCTCATTTACAGTGTTGACGCGTGTGGCTTTCCCCATTTGTCGAATTCTAGAAAGAAAGCCAGACAAGCTCTAGAAAGTTGATTTAGCAGAAAAAAACCTTTGCTTTGGACTGGTTAAGTTTGCATTCACAGGTTGAAAGAAGAATTCGGGCTTAAGCTCTTCCCATGAACTTTGAACTCGGGCTCCTGATAAGTACATAGCTACCCACTCGTTTTTAAGTTGAGGTCCTGATTTCGTTCAAGAAACAGCTGGATGGTCTAAAAGGCTTCCTCTTTTTTGTAACCTTTCTTGTGTACTTTACATATGGCTTTCCCAATGACTGACATTTCTTCTGTGGTGAATCTTACAATATATGAACAGAGGAACTGCTTATAATGAAAATACACTGTAACTCCCCCAAAAGAATCATGTACTGCACTGGTAATTTAGCAAATCATCCATGACAACCAATCTCGCCCTGGGACAGAATAGGGCCTACCTTTTGCTCTTTGTATTGTGCTCCTTGTCATAACCATGTTCTGCGGTTATCAGTATTAAACTGTAGGTTCAGGAGGTGGCCTATTAAGGTGTCACATAAAATCTCTAGAGTGGACACCTTAACAACCTGAAATCCAGTAAAACGTACATCTACAATCGAGGCACTACTGAGCGCTGACTATTAACAGTGCACGGAATCGCTCCCAGTGGCTGTGTAGCCGACGTCTGGTGACTGCAATCCTGTGCTTTTCCCACTTGGCCGATCAATTTCTCCTGAATGTTTTTCTTGAGGTAATGATTTACAATTCATCTTCTCTCAGTTTGCCTCAGATGTTCATTCATTATGGGACCAAACTGCTAGCAGTTTAATTTAACTTGCTCAAGAAGGATTCTATTACAAGGATCTGTATTTCCATTAAAGGCCAGATTCCATTCTACCAGACGACAAACGAGGTATTGATCTCTAGTAATTCTTTTGCATTGCAATGAGCTCTGTGTTAACATTGTCAGTAGTTTTAGTGCCATTGATTCCTGCTCCCGGGTTCCACTGCAAATCTACAGTATGTGAATGTTCAAGCTTCTTCAAATTGGGATAAAACATCTCAGCATTGAATTTGAACATACATGTCCCCTACCAGAGAGCTTTATATCTGCCGTATCAGGTGAATGTAATGGGTATCCTATGCAGAGTGTCAAGGAATCTTTGGGTTCTTGGTAAGATTACATCTTTTCTTGAAAGCTATCTCTTCTGGCCATAGTTACAGGGAATTTTTGATTTCCCCATCTACCCCATTTCATAAAAATCATCCTTTCCTAGAAATGGTATCCCAGTTTTGGACAATGAACCTATTTAATCAGAGGTTGTTTTCTGCCTCTTCTGATGCAATGTAACTCTACAGCCCCGAGCATTTGTCCTTTCCTTGCAGTATCTGGTTTTCCATATATATAGAACACTTTTGGTTTTGATTTACAAGTCTAACTATGCCTTTACAGTATGTCAGAGAAACATGTCAGAGAGGTAAGAACTGTTGAATCTTTCATTCATTTTCTAACAGCTTCTTCCAATTCAAGATAGTGGGGGAAGCAGAATCCCAGGGAGCAGTGGTCACAAGACAGGGCATGACTTGGACGGGAAGCCAGTCCAACACAGGACAGATACACAGACACCCAAAGACACAAACACATACACTCACACCGGGGCCGATTTTCCCAGAAGCCAATTAACCTACCAGTATGTTTTTGCACTGTGAGATGAAAAACACACACCCCAGGAATTGAACCCAGGGCCCCAGCGTTGTTAGGTCACAATGCCAACCACTGTGTCACTGGGGTGCTCTGCAAGTTGCATATTTGAAAGTACAGTATGACCATAAAGTCAAGTGTTTGGACTGTGGGACGAAACTGGAGCACCCAGAGGAAATCCATGCGAACATACACAGCAGAAATCTGAAGTAAAACATCAGCTGCATTGTGCATTGCTCACATATGTATAAACTTAGTTAATTACGAAGTACATTGTATTACAGATACAGCATAAAACTTCTGTACAACTGTTTGGGACTTTGCTTTTAATCACATCCAGTACATAAAAATGGTATCAAATCCATCACAACATAGTTTGTACTTAAACTGTTACGTGTCCAAAAACACATCATAAATGCTGTTACTAGACATGTTTTTTTTTTAAGTGTCTTTTCTAAAAATATTTTCTTTGCTAATATTTTCTATGAAATATAATCCCCTTCTGCCTTGTGCATTCACTCTACCTGTACCTTTTTTCTCATCCTGCCCCTCTGTGTTCTCGTCTCCATTCCGGATAATGAACTTTAGATTGAGCAACTCTGTAATACAGTCAAGGTTTTAAAAGCCAGCAGATTATGAACACTCAGCCGGTGTTAAGCCGGTAATGCCACTACAACGTTACTCAGTCCCCCTTGTAGGGTGAACTAGAGTAGTAACGTCAAAACACTGAAGCTAACCACAAGACCTGTGGTCCATTCCCTCAGCCTCCACAGTGATGTAACAGTTTTTTCCGACTACAGGTGGGCAGTACGATCGCTATGGAAACCTGAGGCAGTGGTGGACAGAGGAGTCCTACCGCAAATTCCAGAAGAAAGCCGAGTGCATTGTCAAACTCTACGACAACTTCACTGTCTACAACCAGAGGGTAAATACACATGCCAACGTTAATGCACACAACTGCACTCTGCAGAATTACTGTAGGAATAGATACACCTCTATTTTTGTTTGTGTGTTTTGCAGGTCAATGGCAGGCTGACACTGGGAGAGAATATTGCTGACATGGGGGGCCTAAAGCTGTCTTATTATGTAAGTCACCATGCAACTTTAACGCTGCTACTGTGTCACTGTATTAAACACTGTTACTATTACTGTTTAACACCATGAGTATGCCACTACCTTTAACACTAGCACTGTATTACCATTTACTCTATCACTGTGTTAAAATGCCCTATTGCTAAATAGAGAATTCATTTTTTTTTTTGCATTTAGTGAATTTCACATTTTACTTTGCTAAAGTTCACTAAACAGACTTGTAACATGGTGACATGACAGTAAATTGTGACCACATCGTTCAAACAGCTTGTCTCCTAGCATGTTCATTAACCACTAGCATATCTTTGTTCATTTGCTAATGTTTGTTAATTTCAAACACTCAGAATGGACACTATAACCACTGAGTAGGAAATTGAGGGTCCTTGAGTGATTGCACCTCTAACACGTATGGAGAAGATCAGTCCATCTTAAGTAGCGCGCCTTAAAAAATATTTTAAGAGAAAATGCATTTGCATTTTGCATTTATGTGTGGCAAGCTGATTTTTTTCTTCAGCATCCCTAAATAACTTCTGTATCCCTTTATGTAATAAGCTGTTGGTACCAATGGTTGTTAGGAAGTCTCTAGTATACAATTTAGAATTATAATTTTCCTGATCATTTTATTTCTACAGTTTCTTATCTCTGTACAGTAAAAGTCTCCTTTTCACCTTCTACATGAGCTCTTACACACTAAACACCATCATACCTGCAACTTTTATATACCTTAAACTGCAACGCAGTTTAATTCCCTTTTGGCAGTTTTTGGCGCAAATTTTACAAAAAGAAATCTGTCTGAATATCTGCATACGACAAGTACATATACAACACATGCATACAGTATGTTGGATGGTTTTTGAAACAAACTACTTATAAATTGCTGTTGCAACGATGTCAGGGTAGGAATTCCTAAGTAAAAGTACAAGCAAAGAGAGGATGAGGGGAAAAAAAACCTTTAAGACCGCTTTTTGTGTTAATAAGAGTAAACAGAGTAAATGGAACATTAAGGTGAGAAATGCCCTTAGCCAACACTGTTTTTCTGTGTAATAGACTGTGAACAGCTAATTATTTTTAGGAAAGTGAGCAAAAGATTATTTGATTAAAACGTCTACTAATAATATCGGTGAAAAATTAAGATGGGCAAAGTTCTGCAGTGATTACTCATTTAAAAATCATAAATGCTTGTGAATTTCATTGCTTTTTGGCCCTCTCATTGGTTTTCACCATGTCTGCATTGGGGCCTCAATACACACGCCTTTCAATACGAAACAGTGCTCATGGCCACATCTCCTACACCCCTCTCTCTGTCTGCAACAGGCCTACCAGAACTGGGTCAGGATACACGGCCCGGAGAGACCTCTCCCTGGGCTGAAGTACACCCACGAACAGCTTCTGTTCATCGCCTTTGCACAGGTAACAATAATAATAATTCCTTAGGCTTATCTAGCGCTTTTCTGTACATCCACTCAAAGCTCTTTACAGGTAATATAGATTCTTCTCCACCAACACCTGGATGATGCAACAGCAGCCATAGTGCTCTAGTACTCTCACCATAAATCAGCTTTAGAGTGATGGAGCCAATTCACAGATGGGGATTAATAGGAGGCCGTGAGTGGTAATCACCATCAGCTCTCATGGCATCACCAAGAGAAAAGTATACATCACTTTAAATCTGGAACGGTACAAGAGAGACTGTCATATGCTGAGTTATGCTTGGCAACACAGTAACAGTGTTAAAATGACCCTGTGACACTGTGAAACTGTGAAACTAAGTGACATTTAAGAACCATGAAACATTAAGGCATAAACAGAGTGAAATTGTTCAAATTACAGTGTTAAGAGCTAAGTGACATTGTCACACAGTGAAAGTCTTAAACAGTTACTGTGTTAAACAGAATGAAGGTGCCACCAATTACAGCATTACAAAAAAAGACACAGTTACCAGTGACAGAGTCAAGGCTCAATAATACATAACAGCTTGACAAGGACCAGTGGCACAAAGCTCAGTCTTCATATTTCAATTAAAGAACACTTGTGTTAAATTTATACATATGCAATATTTGGTTCTTTGAACTTTAGGTTGTATAGTATTTGCATAGTATAGTATTTGTCTTTTTTCACATACCCCAACTTCCCCTCCATGAGACACACAGACAAGGAGAGAAGCTGGGGGTCAGAGCGCAGGGTCAGCCATTTATTCGGCACCCCTGGGGTTGACGGTCTTGCTCAGGGGCCCAATAGGATTCCTCTGCCGGCTGCGGGAGACGAACTGGCAACCTTCCAGCCACAGGCACAGATCCTTAGCCACAGAACCACCACACCGACCCAAAGGCTCTGCAGTCCGTGTACTTGAACCCAGAACTTCACAGAAACCAGTTTACTCTGGAGATTTGAACTCTCTCTCAACAGACTCTTCTCTCACTGACCGCAGACCAGCACACTACACTATTTGAAGAAAAGTTGGGGATAATAGGGCATTGACCAATCACAGATCTCCTCATCCTTAAGTGACAAGTCTCTCCTCCTCTCTCTCAACAGAACTGGTGTATGAAGAGACGGTCCCAGTCCATCTATCTACAGCTCCTGACTGACAAACATGCTCCCGAACATTACAGGTGCTCACACTCTTAACACATACATCCCAGACCAATGTGGGTTCTTTTGCTGTGCTCAAGGAAACCAGAGCTCACAAACACCAGGCTCCAGGAGCACCGTCTGGGACAGCTTCCCTCAAAATCAATCAGCACTGCTAGTTAACAAGAACTTCCTGTAGTTAGAAAGTGGTTTAATCCTAGTGAGGATTGTGGTATTGGAAACACAGAGCACGAGGCAGAACTAGACAAAATGTCATTATAATACAAATAATTTCATATTTAACGGGCAGATCCCCAATAAAAAAATAATTTTAGTATAGTTTTTGCATGGCTCTTAATTCTCTCTCTCTTTTCTTCTTCATGTCCATAGAGTTATTGGCAGCGTGTCCCAGTTTGATGAGTTTGGCCGAGTATTCCACTGTCCCAAGGGCTCCCCAATGCACCCCAACAACAAGTGCTCTGTCTGGTGACCCCCTCACGCCTGATGTCTGACCCCTCAACCTTCTGCCAACCAGGAACCTTCAGGACATGCTGACCTTGCTGTTCACCAACGCTTCCTGATTCTGCATTCTTACATGGAGTCTTTTTCAGGAGATCTTCCGCTGAAGATCTTTGTAGCAATCCTCAGCTTTTTTCTTTGATTTCAGTTGACTCGTGTTAACAGGTATTAACAGTTCTGGCTGTCCCTCTCTCTTCTCTCAGTACAGCTTGAGACAGTATTCTAGCCGAGATTCTGCTGGCCTCTTCTGTATTATAAAACACTCTGAACAGCACAGATGACAAACACCAACATCAAACTCACCCAACCTGCAGTCAATATTCTATTCAAGTCACATGTTCTTACAGTGGAGCAGTGTCCTTTCATGCGTACCCTTCTTTTGAGTACTGTTGTTTTTTTAACCATCTTATTAGATAGAAATTTAATTTTCATTATATTTCCTTTTAATGCGAAGCCCCATGAAGAAAGTCTCATTTGCATGGAGCTGCAGTAACAGGGGTGCACAGGCCAGTGCACAGTGGCGAGCGAGGTAGTATAAATGTGCTGAATGGACAGGACAGAGAGATGGGCTGGCTTCCGGCTCAGGTTTCCCCAGATACAGAGCTCAAGGCGAGCGAGAGGATCCCAGTACAAACTGAGCCACAGTGAAGAAGCAGAACAGACCGGCATGGACAAGACATTGCCTTGAGGACAGGCCAGTTAACATGGTGGAAGAGTTGAGGACAAAGAATAACAAAGCACCAAGCAGTGATGACAAACTCCACTGAAGGGGAGAGCGTACCTGTGGGTTTCTGAGCCATGCTGGACTGGAGCTGAACTACAGAGGAAGACTTCAGCCTTGTAACCCTGTCAACACAACTTTCTAGGAGTGCCTCTGAACCACGACAGAAGAATAACGTACTCTGTTGTTTGTGGGCTGATTCCATAAAGATGGCATATACTTTACATACATGTCAAGGTACAGAAGAAATGTGGTGACAAAGGTGAACTTTGTCTTATTTCCCCACTAAGGCCTTGAATCTAGAACCCATGAATTTAAAAAAACTATCTAAAGGGACCAATTCTTGCAATCACCTACTGCAATAGCAGACACCATAGCCTGTCCCTATATGTATGCAAAGTGACAGTACAGATACATTTGCTAGTACTTGGAGTTACATTATACATGTTTGATTATCCATGACTTCAGAATGTCTCCCCAGGGACCACACCAAAAGACTGTTAAGTGATTTATTGTGTGGGAAATCACTGTCTACGGGGTTTTGTATGAAATTCTATCTTAGACACAGCAGAAAGACTGGAGTGACACTTCTTGTCAGCAGAGGAGGGACACTTGGCGGTGACTAGCACATAATGGATATGTGTCAATTCTGCCAACTGAAATCTCTAATAAATAAAAGGGATGATGGTTTTTTACTACGTGAAAGAGTAATGCCTGTTTACAAAATGTAATTAGTACTTTAACAGCTGCAACAAAACAAACTTCAATTATGTGAAAAAAACTATTCCAGGGAGCTATCTGGGATATAATTCCTTAATTAATTCCTGACACTTACAGTATATAGCACTTTTCTGGAGTGGATAGGCATGCTCTAAGGAAAAAAGGGAGTCCAGCTCATTGTCTCTTCCCCAGAAAAGCACAGTCACAACATGGGAATAAAAATGATGTTTACTGTTCCTGAGAAGGAGTCCAGGAAAACACAAAAAAAGCCTGAATGTAATTTGTATAAGACCCTTTTTTGTATTACACAAAATTTGTTTCTTAAAGTTGTATTTTCATGCATTTCAAGAAACCACTGTCAATGTTTTGCATCCCTCTATAAGAGACATTACTGTGTGTGCTTATTTATCAACAAATATTATTACCAAAACAATCAAAGGTATATGCATACATACAGTCATGGTATATAGTATTAATATAGTAAAATTCAAATGGAAGAAAATGTTATGGACCTGTTTTTCCATTACTGTGTTTTGATGTTCAAGAGCATTATTAACAGCAGTGTTAATTATCATTGAGGTCTGTAACTGTAAAAACATTCATAGATTAAAACATTATGTAATATTAGTTTTATTCAGCAATAAGTGTGCCAAAACATGACTGTGTGTCTGTATATGCGGTAAATAACCCTTTTAATGAGAAGTCCTCTTAAATATCCAAATCAAACATTTATTAAAATACTTTTATATAAATGATCACTCTTACAAAAACTCGTTTTGCTGTGTCAATATATATATATACAGTATAAGGAGAAGTTAAATCGTTCAGATATTGCAATAACAGCATGTGTTCTGATGTTACAAATCTCATTCTCATGATGCCGGGCTTCAGACACAGTGGATTGTCTCCTGGGTCTTGCCTCCTTCTGATTAGCTCAACCTCTTCTTTATCTGTCTGGCAAGAGCACATTTGGTTGTGCTGCTGGCCTTCTGAGAGCTATACAGAATCAGCACTACGGACCCCAGGCTTGCCCATAGATCTGGTATTGGTGTGCACCTAGAAAAACAAGGAAAAGCATGGCTGTATGTACAATTTGTGTGAAATGCAATCTTTTGTCTGTTTAATAGAATTCTGTGTTAATGGTGGTGTTCTTGGTGTTGGGTTCTTGCATTGTTTTTTTTTTTTAATTCTTCTCAAGCAGCTTGAGAAAGAGCTCTTCAGGAAAATCTTATTCCCTTTGCACAGCTGCCTGTGAAATTTACTCGTATCCGCTCTAATGCAATGTTTTAGCAGTTCTCCAATTCAAAACATGAAAATGAATGTACTTTATGTAGAACGTGCATTTTTTTGTTGTTTTTCCTAATCAAAAAATTTGAATTTTATATTCATTGTTTAGGACCAGAGAGGAGGATTATTCCGAAAACTACCTTCTTTTTAATTTTTAAAAGGATAATGGATTAATGCATCCCTCTTGCCTCTTGGTTGACCAAATAGAATCCATGTTCTACACACGTGTGTGTTCCAGTGCTTTTCAGTCATGTTTCCTGGAACTAATCCTGCTTTTTTGTGTCTGTATGTTGTGACTGTCCCTGTCAGTCTGTCTGTCTGCACTGCTAGCTCAGCTGAGCACACTGCAGTTTGGTCTCCCAGCTCTGTAGGTTGATTCTCTCCTGATCCATCCTCACTGGATCAGGCTTCTGTCTCTGAGCCTGGGAAACCAAGACACCAGCCAGGAGAGACAACACGCCGAGACACACAGTCAGGTCTGTCTTGTCATTGCTGGGCAGCCTCGATCTTGGTGGGCTGCTGTGTTGCACAATTTTATAGGTCTCTTTAAATCACAACCTCTATAAAATCTGGAAGCGAAACTGAACATGTTCAATTTTAGCAAATAATTATTAAGACCTCTAGCAGAATATAACACACACATACAGGTATATGCCCTGTTTGCTCCAGGGCTGTAAACCACCATTTAGTGTCTTAAACAGCCAAAGGCTTCTGAATTCATAGAAATGGCCAACCTTGATAACCTAAATTAGAATTACACAACACATACACACATATATATATACAAACTCAAATAAAAGTACCTTTGTAGTTTGTCTACATGGTGTGGGAACACTCTTTTTAGTCCTCCCCTGGGAACACTGATCACTAGACAATGATTCCCCCCTGTCCAGTTCCCTCTGCAGACTCTCAAACTTTGACTGGAACCAGCAGTGAGCCTCCTCCAGGTTGTCAGAAATCTGAGACCAGAGACAGAGATGGGAGCAGAGAGCAGGTAAAAATGTAAGAGACAGGAAAGGCTTGTGAGAGTCTGTAATCAACAGGTGTAAGGGAGAAAGAAAACAGAGAAGTTTAGACATGAAAAGAGCAAAAGAGCAGGAAAGAAGATGAAAGGTAGAGAATAAAGGGAAAGCAAACAGAGATGGAGAACAGTAAAGAGAAAAGCAAGGTAGGAGAGAGTCACACACTTAGCAGAAGGGATGTCTCACTTGCTGTGACTCCAGGCTGGCATCCTTCAGTCTTTGCTCTGCTGTCTCCCTTGCCTGCTTCAGCTGCCTCACTCTCTGCTCCAGCCTCTGCAACACAGGGCCAGGCATCTCTCACTTACACACACAATAATTAGATAAAAACATTCACACAGGAACAGGTGCAAAGCATGACAGAGAATAGAACACACAGCACAAAACACAGAAGGAAGAAATGAACCACTACAGAATTGCCCTTACAGAATGTCACATCTTCAACCACTACCCAGACTCGGGGCAAAAGTCAAAGTAAAAAGGTAAAGGAGGATGTCTGGAGATGGGACTTAAGAACAAACGTGGGAAGAATAAAGCTTGAATTCAGAATAATCCAAAGTATCTTCTGTACAAAAATGATAATGAAATCAGTGACAGCAAGGTTAGACTGGCCATTTTTAAATATGAAGTATCTTGCAAATCTTAGACCTGAGAAACAACCAGTTTATAGTCAACACAAATTGTTGACTAACTGTTTACTTCTGCAGTGCTCCACAACTCAGCACCTGAACCAGCTGCTGGATGCTGGAATGAGAACAGTGATCCCCCCATTCTCACCATAGCGTTCTGACAGGGCCTGCAACTGAGCTTGCCCAGCTTCTCTCACCTCGCAGCGATCCTCCAGCTTCTGCCGCAGCTCCTGCTCTCTCTCCAGCTCCTCCCCCAAGCGCACTGCCTCCTGCTGGCCGGAGGACAGACACTGCAGCTCCTGCTGGAGCGAGGCCGTCTCTGTCCAGAACTGTTGAACCAACTGACCCTGAGACAGAGAGGTGGGGAGAAGGAGTCAGGGAGAATGACGGGGGTGGGGCGATGAGTAGTGACACAAGGGGGAAAGAGTGAGTATTAGACGGAGTGGTAGGTGATGGGAGGGAAAGTGTGTAAAGGCAGCAGAAGAGGAGAAAGAATGGGTCCTTAAAAGACCATTGTTGAGGTGAGAGAAGCAGAAAACAAAAAGCAAGAAAAAGAGGAAAGGAGAAGAAGGGTGGCAACCTGCTCATAATTTTTCTTTTGGTACTCCTCCTTCATGCTCTGCAGTTCTCTCAGCTCGCTTTCCATTTCCTGTGGAGTACAGAATGACAGGGAGACACTGAGCACAGAGAGCAGGACAGTGTGCACCAGTGTTGAGTGGATATGAGACACTGCAGGGTGAGAGTGTGTTCAGTGAGTCAGGGACAAGTTGTTTGAGAAAAACAGTCATCATGTAGTGAGTCTACCTTCACTCTCTGTGTGCTGTTGGCTTGGCTCTCCATGTGCTTCTTCAGCTGTGCCCTCTGACCTTTGATCTTGGCCTTCTGATTTGCCACCACTTTCTCCAACTCATTCACCTTCTCTCTCAGCTCCCGATTGGCAAGGGACAGATCTGCTGACCAGGAAGATGCCTCTTCTAGAGCCTTCTTCAGCTGGGGGCAGTGGAGTAGAACAGTGAGTGGAGTGGAAAAGTCATGCCTTCAGCATACACATTCAGTTAGACCTTCATCACTAGGACTAAAGCAGGGCTGTCCTACACTGTAGAGCATATCCCATGTTCTCAGGACCAACTTAATCAACTTTGTGAGCTGATCCAAACCGAAATAATACAAGTTACAGTATATCGACACACAACCCAAATACTAATGAGAGCTTTTGGATTCTCTTTTGAATTCTTAACAGAAACACAATTTTACCTCCAAAAAAAAAAAACATTTTGTACATAATTCAATACAGACCCTAAGACATGATCCAAGTTGCATATAATTCTTTCATTCCCAGAACCCCACGAGCAGGTTCTGATCAGGTTATGGATTCTTGTGCCTGTGCAGGCCCATGAAAACGTCTATCCTGCTCCTCACTAACTAGAGTTTGAGAATGGGAATGAGTGTTGGTGTAAAAGGGAAAAGAGGCAAAGAGTGTCCATATCTCAAGCCAGGTTGTGGTACCTCAGCAGCATCTTTCTGCCCAGCCCTCCTGCCCGCCTCTCTCTCCTTCTTCAGTTGCTGTTTCAGAGAGTCCACACTGTCTGTGAGCCGACACACCTCCTCACGGCACTGTCTCAACTCCTCCTCCCTGCACAGCGAAAACAGCGTGACACAACCATACACACAGACAGTCACACACACACACATATGCACATATCATCACCTCTTTGTGAGCAGATCTTGATGTTGTGTCTCTGTGCTCTTCAGCTGTTCCAAGGCTCGGCTCAGCTTGTCCTGCAAGGTGCTCTTGACCTGCAGAGCCTGTTCCAAACTTTGTGCGAGCTTCTTGTTGTCCCCTCTGGCCACCTCCAGAGCCTTACACAGTGGTTCTACCTGGAAACAGAACCATTACCCTCCACCAAATTTAGAGGCTAACCTATACAATATCATTCTCTTAAAGTAACAATAAATGAGCTCAAATATACTTGTAAATCCAGAAAATACTAAGTTTGCTAAAGTGCATATTAATACAAAACACTCCTGATTTTTTTTTATAGAAGAGCAATGCCTTAAATTCTAGTTTGAATTTACAGTATCTGTAGCATCACAATCATACAGACAGATCAACTGTGATGGGTAACAGAACAACTGAAAGCAATCACCCCTCCATATTCACCACTGAAATCAGTGTCCTGCTGACTCTGAGCTGTAACCCCTGACCTCAATATTGTACCTATGACCTCTGACCTTGGTGCCATGCTGCTGTGCCTTTGCTGTGGCCAGTCTACCCTGGAGACGCTCCACTTCCTCCTGAAGCCACTGGAGCTCCTGCTGTCCCTGTACCCTGCAATACAGACCAATAAAACGTACAAAATATACAGCTAATGCTAATGTACAGAGTCCCCCGATTTTCTGTATTATTATATATATCTGCTTTTCAAGTATTTCATGAAGTTGTAGCTGTTTTTTCACTTACGTTCTTTATTACTTTATACTTTTCTTAACAATAAAGGAAGAAAAACCATAAGCTTGAAAATTGTAGCTAATGATATTTGACAAAATCATGATTTAGAGATTTGCAACTACTGACAGTACTTGACACAGTCTGTTACACCAGATCACAAGCCACACAACCTCTCTGTGTGTGGTCACTGTCCGTGTCGGTTTCCCCCTGGCTGGGAGTTTGATGTGCGTGTCAGTACGTCTGTCTGTGTCCGACAGTGTGCAGCTCTGTGTCCGTCCGGTACCTCTCCGCCCGCAGTGCCGTGAGTTCTGCATCGCGACTGCCCAGCTCGGTCTGCAGCGTCTCGGCACTCTGCTGCAGCCGGGCGTGGGAGGCCAGCATGTTCTCCAGCGTCTCTGCCACCCTGCCCCCGTCCTGCCGGCACGCCCCCAGCTGCCTCTCCAGCAGCCCCACCTAGAGCACGACACGGCACTGTCCGTCACCGCTGAAGGCCTGGCAGAGCTTCGCCCGAGTCACAGCGGGAGCAAGCTCTGCAGAGTAACGACTCACGAGCCAATCCGAAGCAGTGTTGCACAACGCCAGCCCTCGAGACACTCTGCGCCTTCTGCGCCGAGTTGTAACTAAGCTCTTATCCATGGATAATTCATAATTAGATGCTTTCTACACGGAATCCTTAGTTGCAGAAACAAACGGTTTTTCAGCCCTGGTTCTCAAGTCACCCCGTGTTTCTTGCCTTTCTTACTCATTAAAGGTTTGCTGAACCCTTCACTTGAATTGATTGTTGCATTGGGCACATGTATCATGTTGCCTCCCTTTTCAAAAGTGAGCAGATAGGTTTGTTGATGGTTTTTCATTTTTCCTCGAGATACAATTCTGAGCCCTAGTCAGGTGATTTCTTACACACCTGGTGCAGATTACTCAGTGTTTCATTTAAGTTAAAATTGTCAGAACGATTAAGAATTTAAAAAATAGCTATTCACTGGCTGAGTAATGAAAATCGATATTAATAAATCTTTATTAAAAAGATCGTACTCCCTTTGCACAGCAGGTAACCACTTACAAATATTATAAGCTGAAGGGTCATGTAAACATTGTACCAGTGAAGCAGAAGAACTAATATATTTAATATTACTCATCATATCTCAGTCAATGCACAACTAGCCAAAATTATAAAGTACCCAAGGCTGGCTTATACAGAAGCCTGCAACTCCTAATCCTCCAAGTAAATGAAGCTAGCTTGCAAAAGGAATTTAGTTTCCTTGCAATATCAATAAAACATCAGCTAACAACATTTCCACTATTGTTGTTTGCAGCACATGAAATGATATTGTATGAATGTTCTTTTAAACTCCAGTCATAATATTTCTTCTGTAACCCCAACACTACCTTGCCCTCAGCCACTCTCCTGCTCCCCTCCCAGCTCACCCTGTTCCTGTGCTGCTCCTCCAGCTCCTCCAGCTGTCCCCGCAGTGCCTGGGCATCTTGCAAAGCCTCGTCCCGCACAGAGATTGCCAGGGCAAAATCGGACTCCTTCCTCTCCAGAGCTGCATGAGCCTGCACAGCACACAGATTGAATAACACCAGAAAGGTCACAAACAAGGCAAGATCACCAAGAGAGAGAATGCTGTAGAGAAAAGAGCTTCTGAGACTCCTCCCACAGATATGCACTTATATACAGGCACGCATACAAAAAACTGAACCTGAGGAACATACTATCACACACAGGCTGTACACACACCATACCCTCCACTCATAAAGAATTGTGTTCTTCCTCCCCACTTTAATCCTTTTTCTCTTTGGTAGACGTTTATCTTGATCTCAACTGCCCATAAATCTTTGTTGCAAAGCTCTCCTGGCACATCTTCATACTTCCAAGCAAATTCTGAAGCATGGTGGAGGTAATATAGTCTAGGCATGCATGATCGCTTCTTGAACTGGCTCACCTTTCTTTCTTTTTTTTTTTATTGATCACGTACAACTACTAGTGACTGTTGCAGCAGAATGAACTGAAGAAATTGCTGCTTCACTGATTGGGTGGTGCTTCACCATGCAGTATTACAAGGACCCAAAACATAGAGCCAAGGAGGAAAACATTGGGGAAAAAAGCAGAAAACCTAAGACTTGAAAAGGTATCATCCAGGTTTAAATCCCATTGAACATGCCTGTTGTTGTAGCAAACATGGCAAAGCATCTCAAAGGATTAGGCAAAGAGGCTGGTGAGCTTAATGGCTCACAGACTTCATGTAGTTAAGCTCACACATGCAAATAGCATGATTATAAACATTTCTGACTGTCCTTATATAGCAATGGACTGATGGACTGCAGCTGATGGACTACATGAGAGACACATTGTGACACAGTTTAATGATGCAATCAGTGACAACCCTGACTGGGGTCACATAAAAGTCTTCGTATTAGTGCTAAAAAAAAACAAAGGCAGGTCTAACTATTGATTCAAAAAGATATTGGGCTGTTCTAAGTCAATATATTTAGAGTACATAGAGGTGAAATGTTAAATCAAGTACTTGTTAAGTCAGACTAATCAAAAGTGTCACAGGTATTCTGCAAACTTCTCCAATATAACAGCTCCTACTAAAAAAATCCTTATTTGATTAATCTAGTCTACCTATGCACTGATAACCTCCATGGAAAAAATATCCAGATGGCAGATCTTGAGGGATTATTCCAAGAGGGAAAAGTTGCTCTTGGAATGATACTACACTCTTTCTATTCAGGATACTTATAACAAGGATAATACTGATGCTATTTTCTATTCATACCTGAAATGGTCTAAATGTCTAATTGCACTTGAATTGCCAGTGACAAAAAACCAACAATGCCATCAAAACGTTTTGTCAATTGCTTCTTAGTGTGGTTTCTTAAATATGTTTCTCTGAAAGCTGTGAGTTATACCAAACAGCCAACAGTTTGCAACAAGACTGTTTGCATTTGTAATATGCAGGAATTAAATAAACAACGGGCTCAAGTCTTTATTTTGTTTCAACTTCCTCAAGCACCTCAACATAAGACTCAGAGATGAGAATGAAAGTGAAAATGAAAATTCTCAATTATTTCAAATGTGCAACTTCAAAAAGCTTCTAAACCAGTCCAGAAGAACTGCAGATAGGTCCATTCATGCTTTAAAACATCTAGAAAGGTATGTTACACATTGTCAAGTGCTGCAGTGAGATCTAAGAGAACAGATACAGCATTTGAATCTACACTCAAGAGCTGCTCCACCTCCCTGCTACAATGTAGACTTCTTAAAGACATTATTATCACAGCAGAACTTTAGTACCTGAGTGAGCTGGGCCTCTAGCCTCTGATAGCTGATCTTCAAGGAGTTCAGCTCATTGGTGACCTGCCAGAGATAAACAATATCTAGATATCAAAGTGGTCTTACAGCACTTCCATATCCTTCACACCAGCACTTCTTTGGTATGCTTCCTGTTTTTTACTGAAAGCTGTAAACTTTCACATAATCTGTCAAGTTCATAAAAAACAATCATGATTGCATGATGTTAATTTTAGAGAAAGTGCGCATCACTGTGAATTACTGTTAAATGCATGTAAATGCATACAGAGAGGAACACCAAAGGCGGATGTTCTGCTTGGACCTGTTGACTTGAGAACAAATACATGCATAATCTACATTGGTCAACACAGGACAGATGACAGTTTTCCAGGCATGAACTGGATGTGGTGTACATGCATTACCAGTAAGGTGCAGTATTAGGATTCAATTCTCCTGTTGACAGCAATGGGAAATTCTAAATATATCATTAAGTAGATTTCTGATTCACACAATGTATGCACAGTGATCACACAATCTTTAACAGTTAATGCAAACAGCAGTAATGGTTCATGGAAGAACTACAGTAAAAAAAAACAGTGGTCACTGATGCCTGGTCAGCTGCAATGGAATAGGGATAACACTGTGAATCCAGTCATCATGGCCCAGGTGCTGTACCACAATATGATAATGCCCCCCCTCACACTGCACATATTAGTGCAATAAAAGATTAGATTCCTTCCATAGCTGGTTAATTCACTAGATCAATCTTGGATAAATAATGTGTGGGGCGAGCCACAGACCACCGTCTTCACAGCCTAGTGAGCCCACCACAGAGTCTTCCAGACCTGCACAGGGAACTGACCATCATTTGGAAAACCATTTCAAGAGATACAAATGGTTTCCAGTCATCAATTATAATGTTGGCCACATCACAACATATTAACCTTGAAATGAAAAGGCTAAATGTATACAAATTTGACATTGTGAACACCAGAATGCAGAACTTGAAGAATTGGCCAATGGAGGAGAATACAATATTATTATTTTATTTGTTTTAGATTAGCTGACACTTTTAATCAAAGCAACTCATATCTGTGTCTATGTACAAGGCCTTGCATTTTACTGGACCCATCAGATTGAAGGACCTTGCTCATAGGTACAAGACCAGTGGCCCACCTGGAATGTGAACCAGCAACTTTTTAGTTCTTGAGACCGGAGCCACTTTGCCACTTTCACTGCTTCAGGAAGGTTTCATCCATCATCAGTTTATGTTATATTTTTACACTCTTCCAATTTACCATTCCACAGAGGTTCTTCTTTGGGGCATTAGATAATCTGAATAAATACTTGGCTACTGTAAGTGTTAATTGATTTTGCTTGAATTAATGATCTGCGTTCGGCTATTCATTCATTTAACCTAGTTTATTATTACACCACAATGAGGAGCAATATATACTTCCTCAAAGAATGTTACCATATTTCATTTAGGTAATGATTATAACTAAACTGAGTCCTTTACTGTAACTAGTTACATGTTGTTGATAATTTCCAGCACCGTGAGCAGTAATATAGTTTGTTATCCCTGGCATTTTTAAATTACAGAGGAATATATGTACAGACATGTGCAACTGGTCATCAGCATCTGAGTGTACTTGCTGGAAGTTATTCAAATGACAATATAGCATTGTGTAAATGTGTCTCAAGCACTGCACCTGACTGTACTTGTTCTCCAGCGCAGTGCACAGCTTGCGTTGATGGGCACAGTCTGCCTTGGCATTCCCCACTGCTAGCAGTTCTTCCTGCAGTTGCTCCACCCTGGCCTGGTACACAGAACAGTATAAGCTAGCTATTAGAAGCCTGGAACAGGGACAGAGTTCTCTCAGAGCAGGCATGCTTGATTCTGATACACCCAAAAGTCGAGAGCTTTTACTCGAGAGCTATTAACAAATGGTGGATGGTACAGAGGTATTCCTGTCAACAGTTCCTATGAACATGTGCATCAATAAAAATAAAGAATCTTTAAATAAAAGTTGTGAATCAGTTAAACACCGGCTTCCAGGACAGATCAGTGTGTTTACTGAGCATTACATGAGCACCATTTCTTGTAATTCTAATTGACTGTGTCAGTACGCTCCTTACCTGCAGCTTGCCCTTGTCATAGGCCAACTTGTTCTTGCTGTCCGTCAGTTCGGCCAGCATCTGCTCCACCTGCTGCTGAGCATGCTGGGAGAAGACAAAATGAAGGGAGAGTGAGGCTCCAGCTAAACTCCGAGACCCATCTCCTGTTCCTTATTCATTACATACAGAATGCTATCCCTGTATAAAACATATTGCCAGGCTAATCCATTATCCAGAGACTATATAAGAAGGCTGTGGTTGAATCCTATTGGTTGAAAAGCAATATATAAATGTAAGCAATTGTTATTCTGTTATTCTTTGAGGTTCAGGAGACTCCCAAACAACACAGATGACAGAAGGCCAGAGCACAGTACTGCTTTAGTTTGAGACACACAAGCTATACCTAGAAAAGAATGAAACCACTATACTGAGTCCCAGGAACAGAGAGGATAGTAGGAGTACTACCAGATAGGTCTGTGGTGCTCTGTTTTATTTGCTTTACCTCCAGCGTCTGATTTCTCACCTGCTGGTGTTCCATGGCCACCAGCCTTCCCATGAGGCTCTGGTTCTCCTCTTCCTGTTTCTGCAAGGCAGAGCTTAGAGACCCCACCTCAAGCTGTCCAAGCACAGCCCAGGACACAGAGTGTCAGTCAGCTTTTCTGTATCTACATGCTAGTTTTTAATCACGATGACTCCTTCTGCATTTAGAATTATTCAAGTTTGTAAAGTGTAAAGGGCTAAAGGGCTCGACCAAACAACAACGGATAAAAAAATACTGTTTTTCATCAAGTGTCAAAGCAGACCCCCTAGATTAGAGCATTTCAGATAGGTTTTTCAGATTACTTTTGCACGTGTTGCTGTTATTGGGTTTTGTGTGAGTAATGTGCAGAGCAGTCCTGGGACTCTGCAGGGCGCTGTTGGGGAGAAAGAGCTGGAGTGTGTAGGATGAGGGTGTGTGGGGGCACAAGGAAGGATGGTACCTTGGTCTCCGTCAGCTCCGTCTCCAAAGAGGCCTTCTCCTCCTCCAGCCTCCTCATGGCACTCTGCAGCTGTCACAGACACACCGCAACATCACACCGCAGCAAGCAGCAGGGCTCCAGGCTCTAGGTCTATCAATCCGTCTGAATGCTCAGTTACTTCACTGAATAAATAACTTTGTCTTAGTCAGAATTAAAATTATTCTTAGCACTGGCTGTAGAAATTATATCTGAAGGGATGCAGCTCTCCAGGACAGGGGATGCAGACTGCTACATGAGTCTAACAACTTCAAGCAAGTAACATTTAATGTAAAAGGTGAAAGGAACGAGTAAAGGTTTATTCCATGCTGAAAAGAGAAGAAAAGAAACACAACCTTTCAGCTGTGGAGCCTTCTTCGGCTGTGGCCTTTACACCCGAAGAAGGCTCCAGAGCCGAAACATTGTTTCTTTTCAGCATGGAATAGACCTTTACTTGTTCCTTTGCAGCCTATGCATGCTGACACAGCCACCTACTTGTAAAAAGTGAAATACACCCTACTACAGTAGAACAATAAACAGTACTAAAAGAATTGTGAACAATATACACACTACATCTATTTTAAAGTGAGCTCAGTATATCCTGCAGGCAGGTCATAGGAATGCTCAATTCACCCCCTCCCAACTTACCTCAGTCTGTACACTGTTCCTCTCTTTCCTGGCTGCGTCTCTTTCCTGAATGGTTGTGCCCAGCTCCCCCCGCAGCCTTTCAACTGTACGATCCAGCAGCTCCTTCTGAGTGACAGCTGTCTCCTGGGCGACAGTGGAACTCTGCTGGAGTTTGGCATGGTCTGCGCGCAGAGCCTCGCTGTGGGACAGGGCATTCGAGGCTCAAAGGCACTGGCAGGACACAGAAGGACCCCAGAGACATCCTCCAGGGAAGCGCTCATTGATGCTGCCCTTTAGAAAGCACTGCTTTAGCAGAGCCTGTATTTTTACTAAACCTCATCACATCAGCAACACATCCTGTAATCCCGCACACTTCCTCATGCTTTTAAAAACAAATGTTCCTTGTGCGTTAAGAAATAATAAAACAAGCCTGTTTATTTGACTATTTTGAATATTTCAAAGATAACTAAATACAATTATATTTATTTTTTAAAATTTTCATCACATCTAAATGTTATTGCTAGCAATCAAAATTAAATAGCTTGCCTATGCTATTATACATGTTAACAAGCAGAAACAATATATTAAAAGTAGATATTACTCTGAACAGAGAACTTTCTTATGTTTAAACATAATGTGGCCAAACCAGCTTCTGTTTTGCTAGGCAATTCCAAACATGCTTCATGAACACAGAACACTTCTTCGGTTTCTGTGCATGTTTAGTACTTTCTCTAGCAGTATAAACCATTTTAAATAAGCGATTAGTATTAAAGAATGGCCACAGAGCCATACACACATCATACTTGATGTGACATTTGCCAGAGTATAAACTGACCAACAGAGAAGAGTTCATGCTTTGTTCTCTATACAGTACTGTATGTACCGATTGCCAGATTCATTCCAATTAAGCAGTCAAATCAAAATCACTTTTCTAAGTGACTTAATTAAGTAAATAAGGAAAACAAAAATAACAAAGAATTCCTTTCTTTTCTAACAAATAAAATATGTTTCTTGCCCACAATCCAAACATGTACTCACAATTGTGGCCACAATGTTCTGATAAGGCAAAAAGTATTGTACTGTCATGCTAGATCATGAGTTTATACGTAAAGTTTTAAAATATCAAAAGTCCTCTTGCAGCCAAAACTGAAAATTCCACTCTGCTTATTTTCTTAAACCCAACACTGTCAACGAAAGGTGTGCTGAGAGATAGTAGCGTGAATCTTGCTAATTTGATTTTGTTATTGCTGTCTGGAGTGAGTCTCTAAAAGTCTTTGCACGGACAGACACAGCATATACAGCTATATTGTTCTATGGACAGACTTTAGAGACTGTTTTGTGAGATCAGAGCCACCATTCGGAAACAAAGCGGTTTATTTCCCAGACTCAGGAGGGCCGAGCGACAGAGCTGGACTCACAGCTCTTTCTGTAGCTGCAGCCTGTCAGAGAGCGCCGCCTGCAGCTCGCCCTGGATGTTTCGTCGGGCCGCATCCAGCAGTAAGTCCTGCTCCTGCAGCTTCTGGGCCATACGCTCCTTCTCCACCTTGTGGACACCAAGGGAAACACACGTCAGCAATAAGAGCACTAAAAGGGCGTCGTGCAGCACTGGTGACGCAGAAGAGTATTCATTAGAAACTATCACAGGATGCTGTGGGACAATGAGGAATGCTGAGTTCGAAGTTCCAATCTGCGTGCGTGCTCTCATGGGATCAGACCCCGCGTGCCAGAGGGCAGATGGCTGACCTGCAAACTGGCCTGATGCTCAGTGATGAGCCGGGCGTTCTCTACTGTGAGCGAGCGCAGGGCTGCACCGAGTTCTGCACACTGGCACTCCAGCTGCTCATTCAGAGACTGGGGAGAGAGGAAGGGCAAAAAGATACAGAACAGAGAGAGATGGGAGACGGCAGATTAAAACCAAACCAAATCCTGTGAGGAAAAAATATATACAACAATACAATAAAGACCACAAAGAGATAAGATAAGATAAGATCACTTTATTGGCCATATACAATTTTTTTCCATGAGACACACAGACAGGGAGAGAAGCTTGGGGTCAGAGCACAGGGTCAGTCATTTATACGTGCCCCTGGAGCAGTTGGGGTTCAGGGCCTTGCTCAGGGGCCCAACAGAGCAGGATTCCTGTGCCGGCTGTGGGATATGAACCAGCAACCTTCCAGCCACAGGCGCATCCTTAGCCACAGTGCCACCGCTCTGCCCCTTTTTTTTTTTTGATAAGAGGACTTTTTTTTTAAAAAAAAGCAAAGGACACATAATGCAATGTAAAACTGTACAATGGAAGGCAGTAAACACATATATAATATACAGTATATTTAAATAAGCAAAGCAAAGCACTTTAACAGTACAGTTCTCTACATAATCATATAGATTTGTATTAAAGTATACTGTCGGTCAGCACTAGAAGAATATAGCAGTACCTATATACTGCACAGGAAAGCAGTATTGTTCTCCACACTACAGTGTGATACAGTAATGTGATCAAAGTGGAATAAAGCACATTAAGATACAGTGCACTGCAGTCAGTATAGACCCGTCCTGACCTGCACTCTGTTTGCGGCACTCCTCAGACTGCTGCTCTCCTGCTGAAGGTGACTGTTCTCCTCCTGCTGTTTCTGCAGAGCCAGGCGGGTACTCTGGACAACAAGTATATACAGTATATACACACACAAGTATGGAGACAGACATACGCAAACACATGCAGGCAGGCAACAGGTAACTTGCATGACAGCGGACTGGGCAAGGTCAAGATTTATATTCCTATTTTATGTCAATACAACCAACATGTTTTTTTAAACAAAAAAGTACTTGCGCAGCACTTGGTCTGAGTGTACTTACTTTGAGGTCTTCGGTCATTTCTGTAACAAGTAATTCTTTGGCAGCTGAAATAAAAAAAGACATATGTATATAAATATTTATTTTCCATCTCTGAGCCTGAATGAGGATATGGCAGATCATGTCAGAAGAGATCTATTAGTAGCAAAACATCCAAAGGCTTTATGATAGAAATAATCTTCTGCAGCAGTTTTAGTTTGCTTGAGCTGAATGCTCCTTGATAATGTTTAATATCATTTTAGCAATCTCCATCTTAGTTTACTGAAAATACGGTATTTATCACAACTCCACCTTGTGATCTACACTTTACCTAAAACTAGGTAGATATTTGAGCTCAACCTTCAAGAGTTAATCAAGTTTTAGAGTCTTTCAAGTGTTGAATCCAGATAAATAACTTAAGACCAGCCACAGACTACCAGTTTTCACAGACTTTCGTGACAGATTAAGTCTGTCACTGGAAAAGCAAGTTCAACTTAATATATTGTTCATTTAAAAAAAAAAACATTTTAAAACTTATATGTGAAACAAGTATGTTGGACAAGAAGGTTTTTTCCTGGCCTCCCAGAGTGCTGTGCTTCTGACCTGCCTGATCCCTGAGACTCTGGCACTGTCCCTCCAGCTCCTGAGCTCGGCCTGCTTCCTTCTCCAGCTGCTGCCTGGCTTCCTGCACATCTGTCTGCAGCGCGCGGCAGTCCTGCTGCAGCACCTCCACCTGCAGGCCGGGAGGAAGCAAGAGCATCATGGGCTAGAACAACACATGCCGCTCTGTACACTACCCAACTCCTGTCTCCTTCCCGTCTCTCCCTCACTCTTACCTGGGCTCTCTCCACCTCCACCACCTTCTCCATCCCCTGCACCCTCTGCAGCAATGCACCATGAGATTCCTCCATAGCAGTGCGCAGGGACACCTCCCGTGAGAGCTCCTCCTTCAGCTGAGCAAGGCGAGGTATGGCAGAGAGAAAGGAAGACGTGAGAATTGGAGTCACCCATTCGATAGCCATTGAACCGATATGAGCGAAAGAGGATGGAAGATTTTTTTTCCAATCAATGTAAATTATATTGCATATCATCTTGTGTATTCTTTTTATTTATTGTTGTTGTCATCCTGTAAAGCGCTTTGAGAAGCCACCTTTAAAGGCGCTATATAAAATAAAGTTTATTATTATTAATATATCCATATGTTGGGTGGCAGGGTGGAGCGGTGCTTAGCACTGCTGCCTCGCAGCACTGGGACCCCCAGATTTCAATTCCGGACCTGGGGTGCTATCAGTGTGGAGTTTGGATTTCTCCTTGTGTTTGTGTGCGTTTCCTCCAGGTGCTCTGGTTTCCTCCCACAGTTCAAAGACATACCATCAGGTTCATTAGCTTCTGGGAAAGTTTGATCCTGGTGTGAGATAACAGAGAAAGAGCATCTGATACACAACGTACTTCAACACAGGCACTGACAGAGAGAGAGAAAGGGACAGTGAGAGCTCGGGCAGCTCTCCGCAGTGCACGTTCAGCACAAAACAGCGATGCACTCCTACCCTGCACTGCGGCCCTCACCTCCAGCAGTCTCTCGCTCATCTGTGCCTTGATCTCCTTCAGCTCCTCAGCGGCAAGGGCAACATCCATCTAGGCACAGCAGCCGAGCACAGTGAGGAAGAGCAGTGCTACGCCTAAGGCTCGTCACCATCACCATGAGGACAGGATTTATAGTCACAAAGGCCTTCTCAAATTCTAATTGCAGGTTTTAGGAAAAAAATATTAATTTTAATTCTTATAGCTTTTTCACAAGAAACGCAGCAGCATATTTGTCATTGTGCTTAAATACGATGTCAATTTGAGGAAAAAATCAGTCTTAGACACAATCAGGAATTACAATATAGTTATTAATAAATTGTACTACTGAGGCAGTGGAGAATGTAAGGAACTAGTAAATGTAAATTAATTATAAATGACTTATTTCAAGTAAAGACACGAGATTAAGTTACTTATCTTGTTTGAAGTGGTACTTCCTAACATCAGTCGAAAATCCATTTGTGCTACTTTTTTATGTTCCTTTAACTCCATTTATATCTGTTCAAATTCATCCCAATATTAAAAAACATAAAAATCCAGTAACTGGTGCTGGAGTGTATTCAAGAATAGAAGCTCTTAAAACCTGAACTGGATCAAACAGCTGCGCAATGGCTGTCTCTTTGTCTTCCCCGTGGACCGCGCCCGTGACTACACGAGAACCCCGCGGAGCTAGCAGCCTGTGCCCATCCGGCACTGCTGGTACCTTGGTGGCCGTGGCAACCTCCAGGGCATCCCCCAGCCTGCGGGCCTCCTCCAGAGTGGCCTCCCGGTCCTGGCGGGCCTGGCGCAGCTGCTCCCTGACCCGCACCAGCTCCCGCCGTGCTGCCCGCCGCTCCTCGGCCTGCTCCTGCTGCAGCGCGGCCAGCTGCTCTGCAAGGTGGGCTGGGAGCCCCGCACAGGCCCCAGTCAGGAATGGCAGCTCAGCCCCGTTTAGAGCTGCCCTAGTCTCCTACCAGGTAAAGGACACGTCTACACCACACCACCGCGGCTCTTCGGGCCCACGCTCACCCGGGCTGCGCGTACGTCCCCCTGGACGGGACTGTGGGACTCTGGTCTATCACAGGGATTACTGCAACCCACTTACACAGCTGGGTGGACTGGAGCCACTGGGGTAAAGTGCCTCAGTCCAGGTACAACAGCGGTGAGGACCCACAACCGGTCAGTCGTGAGACCGAAGGTTCACCCACTACGCTGTGCCACCCCAAATCCCTACTAAGTGGAAAATCAAAACATTATTGTATCCCATCTGGATTACACACCAATATTTCCTCAAATAACATTAAAAAATACACTGGTGATACATTCTATAATACTGAGTTAACATAACTGGAAAGATTATAAATAGAAATGCTAGATTCATTCCACTTTCATCAAATGCGCCCTCTACAAGTGTACAAGTGTCCCCGCCCAGCTGCGTAATGCAGACAGTTGCGATAATGAATCAGTGGCACACGTCCATTATCAGGTCCGCATACAGTCAGGTCCATCCCCACACAAAGCCCAGACACAGAGAGCATGTTTAAAAGGACTGGGAAGAGATGCAATACGCTACTGAGGGGGTTAGACTCAAACTATCAACGTTCTGTGTAAAGTGATTAGGTTTAATCAGGTCTCCTAAAAGTACAACATGACACTGAAGACCAGACCCTACTGTGATCTCAAAAGATCTTGTAATATGTTCTTTATATGCCTGGGCCTACATGTCTAACTGTAGGCCGAATGCCACATTGTGACATTCTCTTACTTGCTTCTACACCTTTTACTCAGGGAAGGGCACAAGCAGCATAAATACACTAGATGAGATCCTTGGATTAATTAGCTACTAGCAGCCAAATGATCTGAAAGGGTCAAAAGATCTCCTCTGCTCTGCCAACTTTTTTTACTTTATACAGTATATGTAAATAAGCTCAGTCAGTACAATGATTTCTAGTTAGACGGTCAACCATAAACAACTATCATCAAAACTGTACACTGTGAAGCAATCAAATGTGGTACACATATAAATCAATCTAACATGTACAGTGGCCATCAGATATATTCACTCCACCTTGGGACTTCTTCCAATTGTAGTTTGTTCCAATACGGAGTCATAATGTTGTTTAATTGGGATTTTTTTGCCAGCAATCAACACAGCGCACTCTATAATGTCCAAAGTGAAAACAAAAATCTACAGATCCTCCGACGTTAATTATAAATATAAAACAGAAAATAGCAGATTGCATGAGCATTGTCTTCCTTTGCTATGACACACCCGATAGGCCCTGGTTTAACCAATGCCTTGAAGAGTCATATAATTAGTTGAATGGAGCCCACCCTTGTGCAATTCGGGTGTTTCACAAGAGTTCAGGTTAAATACCTGTCTCTGGGAGGCCTTGGTCAGCATGTCTGTACTTGGTGCTAGAGAACTGCTGGTGTAAATGGCTGAAGTGCTGCCGCTGAGCCCCGAAAAGAGACTGGTGTCTAGGCCTGTTGCTCACCGGAGTGCGCGGGGTTGAGCTGGCGGTCGGTCTCCAGCCGGAAGACGGTGAGCTTCAGCGTCTGGAGGAGGCTCTCCATGCGGCACGCGCGGCTCACCAGGTCCTCGTAGCTGCGCCACAGCATGGCGCCGCCCCCGCCGAACGCGGCCCGGGCCTGGAGGGGGCTGAGGGGCGGCCGCGGCGGCGGCTCGGAGGGGGCCAGGAGCTGCTCGCGGGGCACCCCCAGGGAGCCCACATCCTTGATCAGGGCCTCCGCCTGGTCCTCTGCAGCCTGCAGACGCTGCTGCAGCACCGAGAGGGCCTCTGGGGCGGTGGCCCCCACCTGTAGGGGTGCGATCACTGCGCGGGACATCCCAGCACTGCCCTGCGGGGAGACAGAGGGACGCTGGGTACGGGACAGCGGGGAACGAGGTCCCCCGCAGTCCCATTTCCTGCAGCCTACAAACAGAACCATTGGTACCTTTGGGTTTACTACACCTCGATTGTTAATTCCAAACTTGCATCTTCATGGAAGATTCCTGTTTCCACAGGCTTCTTGCATCCTAATGCTGGAAAGCTGTCAGCAAATAAGGAGTGGGGATTCATTAATTAATTACACTTCTCGTGTTCACATACCACATGCTTCAAACAAAACCATAAAAAATAATATGTTTAGAGCATAACTCGTGAGATTTCCACCGCATGGCACCTTGATCTATTTCAGTTGAACAAACCGCAAGCTCAGCTTCTAACGCGTTTTGTGCGAAACGCTTTACTTCACTTTGAACAGCCGCAAGAGTTCAAGAATGAAAATCCTGGTCTATTTGGCTGACGTTTGCGTCTGCAGCCACAGAGTGCCTGCAAAAATGCACTTGCATCGTAAATGTAATTTAAGAAAGTATCGCAAATTGATACTGTATATCTGATAGGTTTACAATGAGAGTGATAACAGATTTACAGGAATCTTGCAATGATAATACCGAAGTAAATTAAATAAGGCATAGCTATTGTCCTCGCTGTTAAATCACTATTAAGCCATGGCATTTTATATTTCAGCTGTATTAATTTTATACATCCACGCAAACTTTTGTCCGCCCTTAAAATTCTCACCTTATAAATCTCGGCGCATTTCAAGATTCACTTCCTGAGTGCGCGGTTTCCATGGAGACCGGTCCTCTAGCTTCCTCTCCTCAAACTGACCCGCTTCCAGCGCCGCCAACCAAAGCGCGCCTCCTTGCGCATGTGTCAATTCTCGCAGGTTCACGGAAGTTGTAGTTTTATTTTACATGCAAGCCTCCAAACTACGTGAAATTCGCAGGTTCACGGAAGTTGTAGTTTTATTTTACA